TCCCAGCCTGCAGGCCCCTTGCTCTTCCTCCGCAGCGTGCACAAGCGCAGCCTGGCTGGGCGGTAGGCTGGGGCCACGGGGCCTCATTCCTCACATTCCTTCGGTAACTAAAAGGTGAGAAGTTGTCTTCAAAGCAGACACCCTGCGCAGAGATCAGGAAACAAACCTGTTGATGGCCCCAAGGTAAAAGGGAAGGCAAAAAGAAAGCAAAAAATAAAAACCTGAATGGCCCACCCCCACAGAGGTGCAGGAGGGGGTAGAGGCTTGGAAGAAAAGCCACAGAGAAATCTGGCATCCCAGGTAGCGCACAGGAGAAGCCAGCCTGCTCATAAAAACTGCTGCCTCAGCGCTAAGTCTGCACCCCTGTGACTTTGCCAAATGCCAAACCACATATCTTCTCATGGCTACGTGAGGGATATTTTTACCGCTGCTCCTAAGAGGTTGGTGGCACAGCAAGGAACCAGTGGCAGCAGGAGGGGGCCAGCAGCTACCCAGGGGCTCAGTTGTGGGAGAGGGAACGGAGGGAAGGGGCAGAGCGGGAATGGGTCAGCTGTCACGTTAACGCTTCTTGCCTTCCGCATTTCCTCCCGAATCTTTCCTCCCAGCCATGCCAGTCCTGATGCTTTGTGCATCTCCCACATCTCTGCCTCCTGCCACTGAGCCGGATCCGGCATGCACCTAACACATGAAGGGGTTTGAATAACTCCTCCTGCCGTGTCTGCCAAGCCACTTCTCAGAGTCCGTCCCAAAAAGAACATATTTTCTTATTAACATCACAGAGCAATTCCCTCTTCTAGCTTCCCCTGTGTCCATCCTATTGTCTTTCTGCCTTTTTTCTAGAACACAAAGTCTTTGGGGTTGGATCTCTCTTCAGTTCACCCAGACTCAATTCTCTAATAAATCTCATTATGTCAGCTTTATTTCTGGAAATAACGAGGTGCAGATTTCTTTTTTTTTTTTATTTTAATGATAACAGATTTATTCTTTCAACCACAAAAACAACTCTGGAAAGAAGGTTAATCTCTCCAGAGACATTACATCTTGCATTCTGAAATGGAAAATAGCTTTATTTGTTTTTTACTGAAAAAAACCCTAACATTGCTATAAAGGGGAAAGGCTTCCACCGCAACAGCTTTGCAAGAAGCAAGAATGTGGAAACTTTGGCTGCAGAAGATGTGGGCACAGATGCAGAGACGAATGTTTCACTAGGGATGACATTTCATGTATTTTGTTTTCAGTAAATGAACACTTTTCAAGAGGAAACTGGCACAGTTGTTCTGATCAACATCAGCGACACCTCCGCGCAGGAAAAGATTCGATATACCATGTGGCTTGTTTACATCCCTCTCTGAATTCTAGACATATCATACGTTCTTTAATCCATAGGCACACACAAAACCTCCCGACACAACAATAAGCCATGATTAAAGCTTTCCAAATGACTGCTGCAGACTACCTACCCGTAAATCCTGTTCTTACCCAGCCGAATGCTTTACGGAGCTCACGCCAACCAGTGGAGGGCAAGCTTCGGAACGTCCCGATCTTAACCCATAGCATCAGCAATTCCTCCGTTGTTATCCATAATTTTGGATCCAAATATCCAATATCTTCTTTGGAAGTGACCCTAGCCAACACCAGATTATTTTTATCTCTATGTGTTGTTGCACTTCTGTCCAATACAATTCTCTGCTTTCCCTCAACATCTTTTACCGGAGAGTGAAGTTATTCACACCAGTGACACTGGCTATTTGCAGAGTCAGATTTTAATTTAGCTTTTGAAAGTCTTGGCCAATTTCCCCTGTTCTCAAGTGCTTCCAGAATCAACAAAAAGAATCCTGTTAGTGTAAAGAAAATGTCAAGTAGAATATTTTAGAGGCAGCAACAGGGGAAAAAAGAAACCTGGACGTTGAAAGGACAAAACCACTGTAAGCAGTGGACACCACCAGCATTTCTAAACTCCCTGTAGGTACTGTGCAGACACACTGTTTAAAGATTCCCCAGAACATCCTACTGTGTTAGTTTCATTGTCAATTTATTTGTGCTCAAGATTTTTGTTTTGACATTAGCTTCATTTGCACGACACAGGGAGATGCCGCTGTAGCGTGGCACCAGTAGGATGCTGTTGAAGGGAAGTCCTTTATGCATGAGATTGGAGCTGGCACCCTCAGCACCAGCGCAGACCAGGGCCACAGCCTGTTCCATCAGGGGAGGGGGATCCTGACTGATGGATATCCGACGCAGATGGCACTCGATCAAAGACGCCAACTTTACCCACACTCACTTCTGAACAGAGTTTCTTGTGACAGCAACAGGCCACTCACCCGCGGGCAATGCACAGGCAGACGCAGGAGAAAGCTGTGCCTGTGCTTTCTCACCGCTTAGAGCTGTTCTCTCGCTCACATAGGCACCGGCTACTCAGATGCACTAATTTATGACCTGAAGAAGAACAAAATAGCCTCCATTCACGTCCCAGAAGACTGTCTTTCAGATAGCAATCAGTGCGTCATTGACAGAGCCACACTTCAGTGTTCTGGAGGCCATTACCACATCAATGGTGGGGAAGTGGTCTTTCTTCTCTCTTTCAACAAAGCTTTGGCAATGTGGTTCCCTGGGGCATGTTCACACTACCTAAACTTCAGCTTTGTGAATCAGGAGACTCAGCCTCCCAGTCTCCCCATGCAATCAGCTCTTCCAAAGGCAATTCAGAGGAGTCTAACTTACGATATCACTTGAACGGATCAAGGAAAAGGCAACTCTTAAAGCCAACTTCCCACTGCGCTGGGGCTCCTCACAAGGAGCTTATTGTTCCTGGGCAACCTCAATGAAGCTGCTAGCTTGTGAGGAGTAGCTAGGACAAGATTGTGTGAAGAGACGCATCTGGCTCCATTTTTTCTCTCTGCAGCTCACACAATCTTGCCAACACAATTTCTTGTTCAGAAGTCCAGACACCACTACCAAATGGCAGCCAGAAGAAAAAAAAATATATACCTTGTCTGTCAAAATTCACCTGGCTGACTGCACAGCCAGCAGGTTGAGGGAAGTGATTAACCACCCCGTTCTGCATTTGTGAGACCAGAGCTGCACACGGTGCCTAGTTTTGCTGAAAAATAGAACAGAGTTCAGTAAAGAGCCACTGAGATGGTTAATGGGTTGGAGCACCTGATGTAGGAGAGGCTGCGGGAGCAGGGCTCCTTCAGCTTAGGGAAGGCCAAGTATGGGGGAATAGAATCGGTCTCTTCAATTTTATAATGGGGGATCATAGAGAAGATGGAAGCAGATCCTT